TCACATAATTTACATCAGTACTGAAAGAGCAGCAGGTTTACGTAGTCTACTGTGAAAATTCCTGCAAAATCACTGGAGGAGTTGAGATGGACCCATGGGATTTAAATATGAAATGCATAAACACATATAGCCCGGTATTCTTATATTTAGAATTCTTCATGCACTTTCCTAGCTCCACTTCATTCACACATTTTCTTTCTTTAGTGGATAATCACCTTTTGATTTTCTTTTCATTTCTGGTAGAACGTCCTACCATCCATCCTCAAATCAATATAAAGGAATTAGAGACAGGGCAAGCTGTGCCCGCTCTCCTCACCACCTGTGCTGTCTGCCTTACTCTATCACCTCTCCAGTTCTGATCCTATTTTAAACTTCCCTCTCATTCAGTGAAAATGTGGCCATCAAGAAGGGACTGGAGCTGTGTTTATATTATGGAACTAGGGAAAACAGCTAAAAGCAATGCTACCAATCTTTGGCTACAAGAACCTTCCTCTCAAGAGGTATGTGCCATTTAATGGTGATCACAGATCTCTGCAAAAGAACTTATTTCTCTACCAGTTTGGAGATAATGGTGCAGCACTGGCTAAATGTATTTAAGAAACAGTGGGTTAGAGACAAAATTGTGGTTGCATTGCTAGTTGCAATGTTTATGAAACTATTAGAATATCCCAACATACCTAGTATACCACAGAGAAGGTTCCCAAGGAACATATGTGCTGTGGAATACAGTTGGAGAAAAGAGTACGGAGGAATAAAGCCTGGAAGTATGAGTTCAAGTGTTCAGGTGTTGGCCATCAGGTAAGGGAAGTACGAGTCACCCTTCCTAATGTCCCACCTGGCCACTGCCCTGCTCACACGGGAAGAACTGTGGCTATCACTTCCACGGCACCAACCACGCTTCAAGCATTGCTAGATCCCCTTCATCATCCACTGCTGACAAAACCAGGCAAACAGGGCTCTTGCTGTGTAGCTATCAAAGGTCATACTACTTCTAGGTGGTGCAACTGTTATAGCCACCAGCTCAGAAACTGATTCTAAGCAGTTCCAAAGTAATAAAATTCTACATATAAACAAAACGCGCATTTTGATGGATCCTCTATATTTTCCTAAGGAAAGCAGCAATGCAATGTGTTTTAAGCGGTAACTTCTCAGCAGACTGGTTCTCACTGCAAGAAATAGAAAAGCTGTCTCTCTTTTCTTTCCATAATTATAATTCCTCCTAATGGGTCATATGTTACTCAAAGCTAGAAAGTTGCTTTCGTGAGAGGAGCCTTGTTACTATTCTGTTGGGTTTCAAAGATCTAGGTGGGACAGTTTATACCATACAGGGAGTAAATTACTTCAGGCATCATTTAAGAATGTAATCAATTCTGAACACATCACTAAAGCTTTATCTGTACAACTCTATCAACTGGAACTTTCACCTGTCTGATGACATTAGAAGGACCTTCATCACAAAACTCATTAAACTTTGAGTCCACTCAACTACAGCCCAGGCATTTTGTGTGTGATTGTGTTTTGATTTTGTTTTGCAGGGGATCATATAAAATAAATAAATAAAGAAAGAATAAAGTACAAAATAAATTTAAAATTCAAAAATAAATGAAGAAAGAAGTAAAATAAATTTCAAAACAAAGAAATGTAACCACATTCCTATTTTAAAATTTTGTATAAGCACAGTCATATTATCAAAATGGAAACTTTTCCTAACCCATTAGCTATTTTCTGTGAAGACACACAGTTTCACATGTAATGATGTATCACATTTTCAGAGCAGATCATACATTTTTAGCAAGATTAGCTCGTAGTGAACAGCCACGTTGCATGTTTGAGACATTGTTCTGTTCATATAGCAACCAGAAAAATTCATTATGATGACATGAAAGAATGTTTACATGAGGTTTTTGACCCCAAGATTTCTATGCATTAGACTCAGAAGTGCAGAGAATGAGCCCACATAAACATATTGCTTCTAATAAAATCAGGAGTTGAAAGCTACCTCACACAGAAAGTAATAATATTTGCTGTTTGCTAAGCATGCCCAGCAGGTGCTTACATACTGAGCTACATTCAATCAGCATTATGTTCCTATAAAACAGGTGCATAGACCATTTCAGATATAAAAATTGGATTTTAGAATAGCTAAGTAATTTATTCAACGTCATACTGCAAGTGACAGATTTCACATTTGAATTGATAGATAAGCATAGCTATCAGCATAATCTGCCCACAATTGTGAATACCAATTGGGGCTTCAACTATCTTTTAAAATTGATTTCATTATCTTTTAAAAATGTGTAAGAAAGTGGGAGAACAGTAGATTACTTTGACTAGTCTCCAATACAAGTAATCATCTCCAGATATTTTATACTGCAATTTTATGTGCCTACTCAAACATATAGTTTAAAATTTTTCAAAATGGTGTTGGATGTTTTATTTCCTTTTTGTGTCTTATATAGTTTGATATTAACTAGGAGAACGCAGACTTTCAATGCAGCTTCTACAGTTGCTAATTAATGATTAGAGGGACAAATTTGGGGATAAAACGTTACCTGGAAAGACATTTTAAATATACAAAGCAATCTACATTTGTTCACAGAATTACAATGGAAAATTTCAACTTTTGTATGATTGTATACTAAATGAGTAGAAAGTTTCCAACTTTGTCATTTGAATTAAATAAACCAAGTTACTATGCATTTCTTCTGTGGTCTATCACTTTTACAGACAAAATTTTCCATGCAAATTAATATAGGAGGATATTTATTAACAGTCCAAAGGCAGTTTCCCTCCACACTTAATAAATAAACAGCATGCATTTCCCATGGAATAAATTTCATCTATTTTATTGGCACAGCAGGAAATGGATTAAGAGCCAAGCATTCTTGGGGTCTTATCACCAACTGTCCCTGGTGTCAACATCTGATTGACCGCTCTCTGGTTCCCTTACTTCCTGTTGGGGGTAGGAGACTGTTAGATTCCCCTTGGGCCAGAAAGAAATATTATTCCCAGCAGCCCAGCCTAGAGATTGCTCCTAAATGCTTTACATCAATTGTGTAAAACCCTGACTCCTTATATTACATTTACTTCTGCTTAAAATTGTTGATTGTTTTCTATTAAATGTCTCTAAACTATGTTAGACATTCCAATGGTTTTATGGAAGGAGGGAGGTAAAACAATCTTTGTATGTAAGTGGATGAATAGATGAATGAACAATAGTGGCCCAGAAAATGAGGGAAGCTTTCTTAGGAGATATTTGCTTCGCAAATGTTGGCTTGGGAATAGACAAATACATTCATGGGACATGATAGAGAGCAGAGAATTCCAAATGCAGACTCCAGCATATCTGCAAACTTGCTGCATGTTAAAGGTAGTACTTCAAATCATTGGGGAGGGTGTGGTTCATATAGTAAATACCAAATTTTCAACTGTCTTTAAAAGAATTAAATTGGATTCCTGCTTCACGCTCTATACAAAAATAAATTCCAGATACATTCACTATTCAACTGTAAAAATGTAAATCAGAAAAAAATTGTAAAAAACTATTATCAGCCAGAGGTTACAACCTCCTTCAGGCAAGACAGGAAGCAAGTTGGGAAAGAAAAGATAAGCACTCTGAGTACAATGAGTGTTTTAAAATGTTCAGCGCAGCAAAATAATAATCAAAATTATTTAACAAACTTTAAATTAAGAAAAATATCTGTGATGCAGAAGACAAAGTGTCTCTCTTCTATATGCAATGTGAGCTTCCAGATTTTAAGCAGACACAATTTAAATATGATTAAGTGATATAAATATGTAATACAAAAAGGCAAATCCCCACATTCCAAAGAAATGCAGTGGTACCTCATGGACTTGATTTTTTTTTTCCATGATTCTGGCCATAGAATTCCTTCTGGAATCATGGAAAAGAGTCATGACCAGAATCACAGAAAGCACTAAGTTCATGAACTGCAGCATGACTGTATATTTAAAAAAATGAATTTTAAGAAAAAAATGCTAATACCGAAGTAACTAAAATAATACTCACATGTCTATGAAAATATTTCCTGTGCTAGTTATGAATGAACAGAAGTTCTTTCTAAACTTGTAAGAGAATTATGAATTTTGTTAGAATTTTTATGAAATCATCTTATATGTTCAAATATGTTGCTAGAGGGGAAAATACCTAATCGATTACATTGGAATTATTTCTCAAAGTTGAAAACAGTTATGCTCCACATAACTATAGTGTAAGTAACAAACGCAAACCACATATGTAATTTTAATATTTTAGCAACCATACTGTAGCATTAAAAACATTTTCAATTAAGTACAATTGATTGTGATCACATATCTTACCTAATCTCATAAATTCAATGTATCATGATTTCAATGTACAACCAATAAAAATTTACTAGATTTTTGCATTCTGTCTTTCCTGTGAAGTCTTTGAAATCTGTGCTTTATATTTAAAGCACGTCTCAGTCTAGACCAGCTACATTTTACGTCCTCAATAGCTATATGGCTAGAGATTACAGCTTGGGCAAAACAGTTAGGAGCTTTCTATACACCAGCAGATAGAAAACATGTTAAGATGACAACATTAACACCACACAAAATCCTTCATTCCAATCCTTATTAGGGAGCACAATTTTGAGCTGTTTTGTTTCGCGATCAAACTCTTATATGTAACAACTAATATAGAATAAGCACTACTACATTTGTAGCATTGCCTACTGGATGGGTATGGAAGGGAAGTGCGAAGGGGAGCTCAGGAAATGTGGAAGAGGACAAAAGAAGGGAGAAAACAGTGAGACGGAAATACATCAACACAGGAGAAAACCTACACATTAGAATGGATTCCTAGTGGAGTTTGGGGACCTCTTCTCTGAACGTTTTCACAGGGGAAAATCCCCTGGAGTGTGGCTGTTGACTAGAACTAAACTGCATTAGTAACAGCTCCCTCTATGACATCAAGAGTGTCTGCTGGGCGTTCACATCTGGATCTTCCTCCCGCTCCAGTTCATTCCAGTTGGCTCCAGCTCCTCCTGCAGATCTCCTCATTCCTCTTCCTGAGGTCAGCTGTGAGTTTCCAGACGTCAAATTCATTGATAGATTTCACTTTACCTGACCTGTTTCTGGCTAGTTCATCACCCTTGCCTTCCTAAAATATTCTATTTTTTAATCGTTTCCTTCTTATCCTTGTCTCAGCCACACCAGGAAACATCTCTTTCTCTGCCAATACTTCAGTATTTACTCTCACTGGAGTCTATCTTGAGTCATCTCTTTCCAGTCAAAAATTTTCCATGTTATTGTCTTAGTTACTTTTCTCTCATTGCTGAGACAAAGTACCTAATACCCCAAGTTAAAGGGGGAAAGTTTATTTGACTCACAATGTATAGAGGTTTCATTTTATAATTGCCTGGCTCCAAGGTGGCATGGCAGAGGGGCGTCGCAGAGAAGGAAACAGTTCATCGCAGTAGAAGAGAGCAAAAGCAAGCAACCAAGGGACCTTAACAATGTCTTTTTGTCCCTTTTATCTTATCCAGGATGCTTAGGGCAAGTGGCACTCACACCCGTAATCCTAGTGCCCTTGATCCTAGCACTGTACCATGAATCAGTCAATCCCGGGTCACACACTCGAGATCCAGCCACCTCTGACAAAGCCCCACCTGTGACTGCATGAGGCTTACAAGCCATGATGCTTATTCACTGATGCAATTCTGAAAACCACGTTTTCCCCAAATTTATATATCCAGTCAGAAACACCTTTATTCAAGGCCATTATTGCAAACCACTGGCTTGAGATTCTCACTTGAATATTTCTTAGGCTCCTTCGGTGTGAGGTCTGGAATTGGAACCTTGAAGTGTTCACACTCCACACTCTGCCCATTCCTCTGCTCCTTTTCTCTGTAGGACATGGTAATGTCAGGATCCTCCTGGGTTTGCCTGCCACAAGCTTACAAGCCATGCATTCTCCACATCTCTTTCCCTCTCAGACCCCATTTCTACTACATCACAAGAGGAAAAAAGGTTAGATGTCTCAGTAAGTCTGTCTATGCTCTGCATTTCACTGGTTGGTGAATTCTTAATTTTTTTAAACCAACTTCCATTAATGTACTTTTGCAACTCACAGTACCAGTAGCAGTTGATATGCTGGTGTAAGGACAGGATGTCTCAATGCTTTTAATGATGTCGGGCCTCTGCTGAAAAACTCTGCAAGAGCTACCCATTGCACTTAGGGGACTTCTTATGCAGGCTTATGCAATTTAATGTAGGGGTGCTTTCCAGCTTCTACTTCTACAACTCTCCCTCTTATTTATTATAACACTGTTGGTGAAACTTTGTTAAATCCTAAAATTTTTGACATTCTGTGTCCCATTCTTTCCGATCTATCCTCAGTCAAAATCTGAACTTCATTAATTTTTTCATATTTCTACAGTCTAGCATGAGCAGGCTGCATTTTGATTTGTCTTCCAAGGTGACCATAAATCCCACTACCAATGGGGTTTAATAAAGATAAAAATGTCCCACTATCATATCATTTATAACTTAATGAGGATTCTACACTTTCTACTTCGTTACAGAACAACACTTTGGGCATGGGCTGATCTCTGAAGAACAAAACTTGTGTTGCTTTGGACTCGTATTTATCTGCTGATACTGTATACATAGTTTCCATTACATCCTTCAGTGAAACCATTTTTCTTCATATGCATGAGAATCGAGATACTAGGTAGTAAATGGCAATGTGCTTATATCTCCTCTTCCTTAGATAAATGTCACAGCCACCCTCTAACTCTGGATGCTGAAATTTAAATACTCTTACAATCTGACAGACTAGTACATCATAGATTTTTGAGATGATAGAAAGCATCCTGTTAACACAACATAGAAAAATACTGTCATGATTATGTTGCTAAATAGTTCAAAACCCTAAACACCTTAGTAACTCTTACAATGTTACTTTTATAAGACTTCATTATCAACTCTAGTTATCTACATTTGGGGAGGTAAAAGGTAACTATGTGCTTTCCTTACTTCTTTATAACACAGCCAGCAAACTCAAACTATCCTTCTCCTAGAACCACTGTGCTTGCTTATGCTGTTAGTGGTAATGAGAACATGTTCCATTTTCAGAAGGTTTAATTTTCAATGGATGACACTTAGCAGACATTATTTTCACAATAACAACTTCTGAAATTAAAAATAAAGAGAAATGGCAGTTTTCAAGACTTAAAGATACTCCAGCCCTGATTTTCTTTCTTTCGGAGAGGAGGTAATCATAAGAATAGCCCAGGCAACTTCCTGAACAAACAACATCAGAAAAATGACTGGGTCTTACGTTGCTTGGAACTAAAGAATCTGCTCCCTGCTTTCAGAGCCCCTCATTCTCTGATCCCTCTTGTTCCCCCAGACAACTGACTGTCATCCTGTCCTCACTGTGGGCCACATCAAATTCTGATATTCCAATGATCAAACTCCCATTTTCTTTTTTATAGAGAAGAAGAGCTTTGTTGAGTCCAACAAATATGCACAGAAAAAGTGATGGATATATTCATTCTAGCAAATGTTTAAATTTTTCTTTTAATTATTTCAGGAAAAGACACATTGCGAAGAAAAATAGGGTAAGTTTGCTGAAAGCAAGGGGGAATAACTGACACATTGTGACTTCTGGCTTTTCCCCCAAAGTCAAAATGACAATGAAAAGTAAGTATTTTGAATGAATTCAGGACATTGATTTCGCCACAACAGTGCAACTGAAGACCCTCACAAAAGAGGACTCCAGAACTGCTCCAGAAAGTGGCAAAATGATGAAATGAGTGTTTTGAAGTGTGCATGGGGGAGGAGTTTAGAGGAATTCATGACAATGTATCTATTATAATAATTCTTTTAAATTTAAGCATTTGCCTTTTCAATTATGGCCTCAAGTAGCCAATGGGTTGGGTATCTCGGAATCAGGTATTTACTCTTGACCTAAGTGGATCTGATCTGTATGCTAATGCTTTATAAATGGCTCTAGATCAATTGAACGTGATACAGGAATGGGCTTTCACCTACAGGCAAGTACAGCATTTATCAAAACACGATAAGAGAGAAGTGAAGAGATTATCTCATGAGTTAAAACCAAAGTAGATTTTAGCCTGAATTTTATCTCAAAAACTTTTCCCAAGAGTGACACAAAATTTTTTTTAACTATGCTCAAATGCATTTGAGATTTTAAACTGTATTTATTAAGTTCAAATGAAATGGTTCAAATAAAACTGGTTGAGCAGCCAGTGGAAAAGGACTAAACTGTGGGGGTTCTTCACAGTGGGACATTCTACAGTTGTCATCTTGGGATTTTATGGAACTGTGCTCTTTGTGTTTCTTCACTGTACACTAGATAAAAACATGGTGACTTAGAGGCCCTAGCTTTAACCATCTGAAAAGCTTTTATAGTTGAAATAATATAATGAATTATTAATCAATTATTAAATATTTAGCATAACTCTACTGAACAATGTGATTTCTCATTCAAAGTGAACTCAAGGTTACAAGGGACCTGTCCCACATGATTTCAAAGTAGAAATACAACAAACGAAGGCTATTACAGAAAGGCCGGTCTTCACACTATTTTATTCCTTTGAAAGTTAGACATAATCAATAAGGAGAATGATTGTGGGTTCTGATCAAAGAGTGAGGCTTTGTCCTTGATCCATTTCAGACAACAGCAGCATCCCAGGATGCACGGAAGGCCGTGTTGGAACCTCACCCTGAACTTTCTGTAGGGCTTTAGGAGGCGCAGCACATGTTACAACAAGCTGAGAAAGAGACAGGAAAGCTTAACAGAAAGGAAAATGGAGCATGCTATGATAAAGCAGGATTTATTTTAATGAAGTAGATCTAAGGAGAATCATAGGAAGACAGTGAAGCATTGAGAAATTGCTTGTCATGATCATAAAGAGAAGCTGCCCTTTTGCATGACTTCTGTACAGAGCCCTTGGAAACTAAGAAATTTCTCTTCAGTGGTAAATGTCTCAGAAGTGCATTATTTCTCAGTGGAAAAAAACCAGGAGGCATATAATTGTTTACAGTTTCAAATATTCTTTACCACTGGGAGCATCTCAATGTTTGCAATAGACCCTAAATACCATTCTTTATGTTTAAAAGAGTAAAGAATTACAAAGGCCAAATAATAACATTTCGAAATAATAATATCTGTAAAGTTTTGCCCTTCCTATCCTTATTTTATAGCTTTCTTCAAAATTATAATAAGATATTTTTTAATTTCTGAGTCTAGTCATAAAATAGCAACTGTAACTTAGATAATTAAGTTACAATAATTCAAACCCTTAAAGGGTGAGATTTAGAGTTGGTGGGAATGATACTCCCTACTTTAGATTGGATTTTTAAAAGACCAGTGGTAAATATTGTGGCAAATCAGATTCTTCATCTTATAATTAGAAGTATTCTACAATTTGCTTGATGCTTATTTTTTCACACAGATTTGCATCCTATGCAAATCGAGTTTCAAATGGTACTCTGTGATCTGGGATCATGATCTGTTATCATGTTCTCATTCTGTCCCATGAAATCCTCTTTTATTCTTTCCTGAAACTTGTCTGGTTTAATATTCTTTCAAGCAATCTGTCCCTAGTTCTTTTCCTTGGAGAGTCCTTTTCTTCTCTTTTCACAGCTGTTAGACACAGTATTTCCCCAAGGATATGTTAGTACCTTGCACAGGAAGCCACATCTCCTATGAGGCAGTTTCTCAGTGCGAATTTTATCTTTTACATATACACAGGACACCACTGGCAGCCTATGAATTAAACTAGCTAACAGGGAGCTGGGAATTTAGCCCAGAGGCACAGTGCCTGCCTGGCAAGTGTGAGGTCCCGAATTCAATCCCCAGGACCAAATAAATAAATAAATAGCCAACAGGGATGAAGGAAAGAGTGTTATGGCACCCTGAAAACGTTTTCTCTTTTATTTCTCAAAAACAACTTCCAAATAAATGTTAACCCATCCTGGTCTTAAAGGAGCACCTGGGATAGGGACTTAGTGAGTGACCCAAGTTCACAGAGTAGACAAGCAGCAATCCAGGGCTGGGTCTTGGCCACCTGTGTTCAGAGGCCAGCTGCGGGGTGGAACCACTACTCCATGGACTCAGAGGCAGCAGCTTAGGTCCCTGTGCCACCCCAGTGCCAACCAAGTATGCTGACATGTAAGCCTGCAGGCCTTCGCAATTGCATGTTAGGGAACTGTTTGGATTGCTTGAAAAATACCCTAAAAGAGCTGCCTTTCTTTAAAACCTCCAAAGAGACCTGGTCATGTCCTTTCTGAGCTGGCCTAAGGTGAGAAAGTTTTTGTTCTGTTTACTTTTGCAGTACTGGGGATTGAACACAGGACCTCTGCCCTGTGTTGTATCCTCAGTCTTTTTTATTCTTTTAAGATGCAGTGGTTACATTGCCTAGGCTGAGCTTGAACTTGTGATCTCCCTGCCTCAGCCTCCCAGAGTTCGGTGGTCACAGGTATGTGTCACCACATGCAGCGAGGGCACCTCCTTGATGGTCGTCTACACAGCTGTGGTCACTGGACATCTAACTGAGCTCTCTGATGCCATCTGCCTGGCCGTGGTCACAAGGAACCAGCCCACAGTACTAGAAATAACAGGAACTAGTCCTCCTAGAAGGCACCTCACATCAACGAAACTGGGTGAATGTCACAATACAGCTTGTTACACAGGTAGCATCAGCTACTCTTGGCCAAATAAGGAAGCAGCTGAAGGGAGTGGTGAGAGCCAGCCAGAGAAGGAGCCGGGGGATTTGGCTTCAGCGAGCCTAATAGCGGGTGCCTCCTCCTGCGTGGCCCCGACTGTCCACTGTCGGGGGAATCAAAGCTGCTTTCTGGATGCACTGCTCAACCTAGGAGGTGAAGACAAACTGTCCTGTTCTGTTTAGGATGCTGTTAGCTGCAGTTACGGCAGTGACCTGTCAGGGTCAGCAGGAAGTGGCCGGTTTATTTCTGGATGCTGCAGAGACCCTGTGAGTGGCCACACGGAGCCGGAGCTTTGGGGCTGTGACCGGTCAGGGTTTAAAAGGCTGACCCATCGCCGAGGCTCCAATCCCTTCCATGCTGTGTGCCCTGGTCACAAGCAACTGAAGAGCAATCTTTCAATTTATTTACTCAAAATACACCAACCACGAGAAGGAGCTGACGCCCAAACCCGCACTGGCCAAAAAGGTGCCAGTAAGCTACGAGGAATTTAATTCTGTTCAGAACCTTAAGGGAATTTCATTCAGAATATATTTTCTTTTTACTTTTCTCACTAGGAGCACCTTCAGTCAGCAAAACACCCTACTGAGGTTTTTAAATTTCAAAACTGAACACTTTTTGTAATCTCATGCAATTCACAGACTCATCTGAAAAGCTTCAGAAAGAACTAAGGAGAATCACCTTTGCAAAATGTCCACCTGGTCAGCAACAGAGCAGGCTGCTTCTTCAGCAGATCACAGCTCAGCCTCGGCGTGGAATCTGCCTCATCTGTCCTGTCCCATGTGTCCCATGTGTCCTGTCCTGTGTGTCCTATCCCATCCTGTCCTGCCCTGACCTGTGTGTCCCATCCTGCCCTGCCCTATCCTGTGTCCTGCCCTGCCCTGCCCCACCGGGTGTCTAAGCTGGGTTACACCTCACCTGCCAGGTGAGTCAGGCCATAGGTGAGCAGATCATGACCTGCCCCACTGTGTTAACAGTTTTCAAATGACTTGTGATTTTAAAAGCAGGTTGTAAAGTAAAAACACAAAGGAATATTCTACCCCCGGTGCTCTGGGGAAGTCTGAGTTGCAGGAGGCAGAGAGAGCTGGCGGGTGCAGATACCAGCGGAGAAACTGGGGACCTGCCACGAGCGCCCCTGACTGCAGCAGCCAACCGGGG